GGTGCTCGTATGGACTGTCTTAATGATACAAGGTCTGTGGCACCCTTACCAAACGGACCTTCATATGAATGCCTCAAAATGCGAGCGATCTTCTATGCACTTGGCACAATGAAGAACCCCTTATATCGATTCCCGATTGGACGTCCTAATGCCTTTCCGTCTAACCTTACTGGATTGCCTCACTTGGTGGACATGCCAGGAAAACATCATGCCAGGCTTTCCATTTGTATTTCCAGCTGTTCGCGGATGCTTCCAACTCGGGTTAGAGAGCTCATATGGATTGTCTTGTTGATACAAGGTCTATGGCAACCCAACTAAAGGGACCTTGACATGCAAGCAATCTACTAGGCACCCGAGAAGGAACAATTTATACCTATCCCTGATCCCAGCATCTTCCCGTGGCAAGAGCATTAACTGACTATAAAAGTCCAATTTCAAGGCACGATCGTAGCGCCACCACTGGCAGTTATGTCTCTTCTATGTCCCTTCTATTGACCAATCAGATTCCATCTCTCATATCACTTGCATTTGCTTCAAACAAAATGGCGACACCCAGTCAAGACAATCTGATCGATAATCAAGATCTATATTAAAAACATGCTTTGCAAATCCCGCAGTCGGCCAAAATCTGCGTAAAGAAATCCATGTTGTTTATGAACCTGGTGTCTAGTTTGTTACATGATTTTGATTGGACCGAGCCTAGACTCATTAGTCCAGCCAAAATGTAACTCCAGAATTCAAGCCTAGTTCGGCAATGGTGGACACTGGACTTTTATAGTCAGTTAACGCCCTTGCCCCGGGAAGATGCAATCCCTGTTGCCACAAAAACAACCCCACAGTAGTGGCTTACATCCAGAGTCACTGTAGGGGCACGGTGGCCCAGTCGTCTAAGGTGCCGCAATCCGTTGTGCAGAGTTGCATCCCTTGGGCACGGCAGAAACCTATGATTGTGGGTTCGAATCCCTGTTCGCCCCGATTATGTTTCTAGGTTTGTCAGCACCATACCCATGCTCATGGGTTTCACCGAAGTAGTAAACGTCTGAGACCTACATCACTTCGGGCTTTCCTCCCACCTTAAGCTGATACGCCGTGATATAACTGGAATACTGTTAAAAGCGGCATTAAACACTCACTCACTCACTCACTCACTCACTCACTCACTCACTCACTCACTCACTCACTCACTCACTCCAGAGTCATTGGATGGGATGTGATCAGAACAGGAAGTGACATCATGGATGTCAATCTGGAAGGTGACGTGGGCTGTCAAAGTTTGATTGATGACGTCACAATTGGGGAAATATTTCCTTGGCATTATTCTGAAAACTGGCCTTTCATAATTGTGTACACCTAATATTGGTCAGACAAATAGAATGGTTTTGTATGTACCCCACAAATACTGGATCTAAAGGGAAAAGACCGAATTTGGTTTGGAATCATGCAATTAGACTGTTAACTATCCTGTGTATTGGAAGATGTCAGAACCCACCAATCTCTCAGGTATATTCTGGCAGTGATGTAATAGAGGTTTTGTATTCGTAAGAATTATGAAACAATAGTTATCACTGATAATAATTTTAAAAAATACTACCCATATTACATCCGGAGTCCCACCCACCTCCACCAACAATCTGCATTTTGGTTGCTGATGTTGGAGAGAAGTACCAGTGCTGGATGGGCATCTCTATCCAACGTTGCTGAACTTCACCTGATTTGTGACCTGTGCGCTGGACACAGGAACAAGTGCCACCATAGGCTCAATCTTCTAGTTGAAGCAGAGATCACAGGTTTCTTTCATACCTGGGACGCACAACGATATGCTCCACCTGTGCCCCACCTACTGGACAAAGGAAGTTCCAAAGGAGGGCTATTATTGTGCACTATCACTCATTTGCGTAAAGATATTTTCACATTTAAAAAAAAGTTAAAAATAGTCAATTCTCCTTTAAGAAAAAAATGTTATTTAACCTTATTTGTCAGTTTCAATACTGAGTAAAGGACAAGCATCAAGCAACCATCAATTGCGTGTTGTCATGGAGAGCCAGTTGGGGGTTCTTTGGTAGTGCATGCTGAGCTCACAAAATACTGTACACCTACTGGTGCCATGAACAAAAGTAGGTCACATAACAGTTATTATTTTGTTACTTGTTCTTCAGCATAGCTTAATCTATTTTCGGGAAACAACAGGAACAGATTTCTATGTAATGATGGTGAGTGAGTGAGTGGGTGTGTGGATAGGGTGGTGGGTGGGAGTGAGTATTTCTATGTAGTAATGGTGAGTGAGTGGGTAGGGTGGTGGATGGGAGTGAGTATTTCTATGTAGTAATGGTGAGTGAGTGGGTAGGGTGGTGGATGGGAGTTAGTATTTCTATGTAGTAATGGTGAGTGAGTGGGTAGGGTGGTGGGTGGGAGTGAGTATTTCTATGTAGTAATGGTGAGTGAGTGAGTGAGTGATTCTATGTAGTAATGGTGAGTGAGTGAGTGAGTGTGTGGGAGTGAGTAGGTAGGGTGGTGAGTGGGAGTAAGTTTGTTTGTATGCTACACTTAGCAATATTCCAGCCATAAATATAGTAGGGACATCAAAGTGGGCTTTATACATTGTATCCATGTCAGGAATTGAATTTTGTTTCAGTTTAAGAGTGAGTTCATGGCATCTTAACTAAATAGGGGAGGAATTTCCAAAGTTAAGCATATCTTAGACATTTACCACTTTGGTGAACCCTATGAGACCTGCATCACTTTGGGCTTTCCTCCCACTTTAAGCTGACACGCTGTGATATAACTAGAATACTGTTAAAAGCGGCGTTAAACCCAACTCACTCACTCATTGGTTTGGCCTAGGTATGGTGCTGACAAACAAATATTCACATATTCATGGCAACTTTGAATTCTAACCCATAATCAGCAGATCCTGACATGACTAGGGGGAAATAACTGCATAGTCTGTTGATGAGATGTTAAACTGATAAGAAATCTTTCTGAATTTAGAGAATAATTTTAGGGGGCATGGGTTGCCCAGTCGTCTAAAGCACTTCCATTTGCTGTACAAAATTGCATCCCTTGGGCATTCCAGAAACTTATGATCGTTGGTTCGAATCCCGGTTCAAACCATTATGTTTCTAGGTTTGTCAGTACCATACCTGTGCTTGTGGGTTTCACCGAAGTGGTAAAGGTCTGAGAACTTCATCACTTTGTGCTTTCCTCCCACATTAAACTGACACGCTGTGATATAACTGGAGTACTGTTCAAAGCGGCGTTAAACCCAACTCACTCACTCACTCCCGAACTTGTAACAAAAGACTAATGTGAAAAATGATTAAGCAATTTGTTTTGGCCTTACGTTATATTTGCATGATGAAAACATTACACTTTACCATTCAGGTCATAATGTGCCATGGAGAATTTTAGATGAGGAAGAACAATTATTGGAAAATTGGAAAATTGCTATAATAAGTATGAAATGAGTAAATTAGCAGGGCTACAATATCCCGGCTGTGATTATCACTGTAATTAGGTAGTAAGAATGTATGGTATGATAAACTTTGCCAAGAGACAGCCATGGCTGTGAGAGACAGGACTGACTGAGGCAGAACTTTGGTTATAGCATACAATGTGAGCTGAGCCCTGGGTAGGGTGGAATATAGGTCTGGGTACAGGGTTGATGTGTCCAGTAGTTTGGGTGGATCAGCCAGCATGGAAAAGAAGGTGTTTTTTGTCCCAATTTTAACATTTAATTGTTGTTAAAATGCAAAAAAAATTCGAAAAATGAAGTCTTGTTAGTTATGGATGACATATCTTCAAATTATTTAGTTATAGTGGATTTTATGTTTACCTGTTAACACAATCACCAATATGAAACTTACTATTTATAAATGTTTGTGGGACTTAAATAGGGTGTGTGCACCTCTACACCCACAATTGGATCTGTGCATTATTAGGTCCAGGTCTTTGGGTTGATGCAGGACCTTAGTGTGGTATTACTGTTTACTGTTTGGTCAAAGTAGACTGGTGTAGAATCATATTAAGGTTTGGACAGAAACTACTTTGGGGTTTGGAGAAATGGAGGGTGTTCTGGTTTTAGAAAATCCCTCGGATTATTTGGGCTTCAATGTGACCAGTTGTGTCTAGGTTGTTTCCATTAGAAGGAGTTTTAAGGACTGTCTGGGAGATATGGATTATGTCTGGTAAGGATTATCTGAAGACTCAGTGGAGGGTGAGGTGAGTGTTGTATTCAGAGTTTACTGGAAGTAGATAAGGAAGGTATTAATGAAATCAATTACATGAAAAAGAAAAATCAATTCTGTCTGTCATTCGATTGGAGTAGCACTTCAACAAGAGTTTGTTTTGAACATTTCTTCATCCTAATCTTATTGTTTAACAAAAACATGCAAGAATTAGAAAACCCTAATGAACAAGAGTCCATATTCTGTGGTACTGGTGCTTGTCTGTCGTTAAGAAAGAAGTACATCCCCTATCAAGTATTTGATAGTAACTCTGTGTATCTACATTGTCCAGACCTCGAAATATAATTTATCCATATGAAAAAGTTTTTTATCCTTATAATTTAAATGCCATAAAATAGATTTAAAGTTTGTCATGAATGTTTTCCTTGAACCATTTTTTTCTGTCAAACTCAATGCCTGTGTATCTTGAAATATTGTCTTGGAGATTTGATACTTCTTCAAGAATCCTTTTCAGTGGTTCCAACTTTTTTCCCTTTCCCTCCTATATCTGTATGTCCTGTCATTCTTCACTACTTCCTATCAACTGTCCATACAATAATATATATTTGATTATGTAACTCCGGAACCATTTCTAATCCTCATCATGGACATACATTAATCTCTTCATTAAAGTAAGCATAATGCTTATCCTTCCTTGTACTCCTCCATTTGTCTGTCCATCCATTCTATCTGTGGTGTATATCTGGCGTATTGCCTGGTGGAGGTTTGAGACAGGCTGCTGGTCCAATCACTGCCGTTCTCCCTTCTTCCTCTCAGCCAGGAGAGTCGGATTTCAAATTCCTCCACAAACACAGGCATGGCATCTTATAGTTGACTCTGGTTATACCAAGGGGAGCTTTCAACCCACAAATTTTCGAAAAAAAGAGGGTATTCACCATCAAACCCACTTTGACCACTGGGCAACAACTCAAGCTATCAAGGTGAGTGAAAATCTCATCAAGATCGGTCAAGTTGGAGCCAAATAGGATGAAAGTTGCATGTAAGTTTTGGAGGGGAACATCCTCCATCATAGCGATGTATGTATGTCTACCAACTTAGGAGGTCATCACATCACTAGATAGAGATAACGGAGCCTCTTCTACAGAGCCACGCTTACAACTTTTAAATGTACCTTCATAGGCTGTCGACATAATGTAATATTATTTGTAATTAGGAAAGTATGTTTTAGCTAACTTGAACTAATTTCACTGATATTATAAGTGTCTAGTTGCACTATTTAGACTTGAGTCAAAGAGGTGCAGGAACTAGACTTGGAAAGTGTTCAAGCAACATTTGGCTAGAACGATGGTATATTTTTCTCATTATAATGTGCTGAAAATAGATGGAGCGTCTGTAAACCTGGTAACATTATTATATAAGTTGATGACTTTATTGATGAATTTAATGCAATTAGTTCATCAAAAAGGACTTAATTAGTGTTATTTCAGTGTTAGAGTGGTTATTCTATTAATAGAAGGTGTTTATTGTTAATTATGTTTTATACACTTTTCCAAACAACATATTATTTAATTTCACTTTTTAGCTTTAATTTAATTTTGAAGTAGATGTCAAAGATCATTTTGCATTAATGATGAATAAATTTAAGTGAGATAAAGACTCATATATGAGTATTAGTTATGATTATATTTTTAATATCATATGAGCTGTGACATAGATGGATAGTATGTGTTATCTGTGCACTAAGGACATATATCACAGACTAACAGAATCTATGTTCTGTAGTCTGTTTTTAAAGTGAATGTTGTTAGTCAGTGATAGATCAGTAGCTATTTAAGTCAAGTCATGGAAATGTGACACTGGTTAAAAATAATTCAGTGACATTGCAGTCAAGAAAATAATCGCCAATCATGAAACTAAAGATGGCATAATAAAGCATGTATCTGACCTAATCCAGCTTATATTTGCCATCATATAATTGTCTATAGGGTTAATATTATACAGGGAGTCTATAATGTAACTAATGACCTCCCACTTCTCAATGAATCAGAACTATGTGTAACATTAAGTAATCACTATAAGCACCTGAAACATATCCTTGCTTTACCCCTGCTGGAGAATGTGATATCGGAGATGGCTGATGGTCAGTGTGGTGTGTTCTGATCTAACTGCTGAGTGACAAGTCTTGGCCATTAATGGCTGCAATGTATTATATGGTCCAGTCTGGCTGTGTATGTTATCTTAGTGATAAGTGACCATAGTCTAGGCTGATGGACTCATGCTACTGCCTGTGTGTGACCCCAGGAGACTGCTGTTGTTAAAAATAAGTAATCAGGCCGGATCAATTACTCAGCTTGTTTCATGGATGAGTCTAACCTATATTTTGAAAAGTTTTAAACTGAGAAACGTATGCTGTTTAATTGTAAGTATATAAAATGTTTTTATTTATATTTTTTTAGGATTTTTATTTCAGGTTTTTTTTAAATTGTTTAATTAACCTAATTCAAATCCTTCTTTTAAGATATACATTACTTTTTTTGTCTCCTGACTTTCAGGATATTGACCAAGAAAATGATTAAGCAAGAAAATGAATTGTCTGGCCCTGTCCTTGGAAGTTACTTAATGGGAAAAAATATATTTTGATAAACATTTGCTAATTATAGAAATATTGTGTGGATGGGAATTTAGACAGTAGCTTTCTATGTTCTGACAACTGTTGTTTTGTCCACCATAGAGGCAGAGTAGTAAGTAATAATCAAGTAATAAGTCAAATCTCCTATTCTGTCTCTACCAGCTTATGGGGGGCGGTGGGGTAGCCTAGTGGTTAAAGCGTTGGCTCATCATGCTTGAAGACCTGGGTTCGATTGCCCACATGGGTACAATGTGTGAAGCCCATTTTCCGGTGTCCCCCGCTGTGATATTGCTGGAATATTGGTAAAGGTGGCTAAAACCATTCTCACTCACTCACTCACTCACTCACTCACTTATGGCACATGTTGAATATCCAACTGTTTGACCCATGAAAATCCGGGGTAAAATTTGTCTTCACATGCTTGTTGTAAGTGACAACTTACGGGATCCGGTGGTCAGGCTTGCTGACTTGGTTGATGCATGTCATCGTTTCCCATTTGAGTTGATAGATGCTCATGATTTAAATCAATGGATCGTCTGGTCCAGACTCGATTATTTGTTGATCGCTGTCATATGGCTGGAATAATGCTGAGTGTGGCGTTTGTTTAACGCCGCACTCAGCAATATTCCAACTATATGACGGCGGCCTGTAAATAATTGAATCTGGACCAGACAATCAAGTGATTAATATCATGAGCATCGATCAACGCAATTGGGATCAATGGCATGCATCAACCAAGTCAGCGAGCCTGACCACCCGATCCCGTTAGTTGCCTCTTACGACAAGCATAGTCACCTTTTATGGCAAGCATGGGTTGCTGAAGACCTGTTCTACCCTGGATCTTCACGGGTCCGCAGACTGTGGACCAGGACATAACTTCTATGCTGGAACCAACCAACCAATTTCAAAATTGTATTGGACAACTGCATGTTATATATCTATACTACAGTTTCTCACATCAGAACCAAAGACCTGCTAACAACAGCCTATCTGACCAGTTGCATCGTTAGGATGTTTGATCGCTGCACAGATGCATAGAGTTCTACTCAGATAAACCTCGGACCTCATCACCATTGTCTAGTTGACCTATTATATACCAGAGATGTTTGGACCACTGCACAGATAGACATAATTTTTTCCAAGCGAATCTTGAAACTTGATCATCTCTGTCTACCTGACCAGTTCCATACCAGAGGTGGTCGGGTGGCCTAGTGGTTAAAGTTTTTGCTTGTTAGCGTTCGTATGTCCATTTCTGGTGTCCTCTGCTGTGATATTGCCGGAATAATGGGGTCAAACATTCCTCTCTCACACCGTACCAGAGAAGTTTTGACCACTGCACAGATGGACATGAGTTTTACCTTGTTAAACCCTGAACCTGATGACCAGTATGTATCTGACCAGATACATATCCGATATGTTTGGACCGCCACAGATGGATGTGAGCTTTACCTAGCTAAACCCCAGACCTAATGACCACTGTGTATATGACCAGTTACGTACCTGATATGTTTTGACCGCCACAGATGGACGTGAGTTTTACCTAGCTAAACCCCAGACCTAATGACCACTGTGTATATGACCAGTTACGTACCTGATATGTTTTGACCGCCACAGATGGACGTGAGTTTTACCTAGCTAAACCTTGGACCAAATGACCACTGTGTATATGACCAGTTACGTACCTGATATGTTTTGACCGCCACAGATGGACGTGAGTTTTATCTAGCTAAACCTTGGACCAAATGACCACTGTGTATATGACCAGTTACGTACCTGATATGTTTTGACCGCCACAGATGGACGTGAGTTTTACCTAGCTAAACCCCAGACCTAATGACCACTGTGTATATGACCAGTTACGTACCTGATATGTTTTGACCGCCACAGATGGACGTGAGTTTTACCTAGCTAAACCCCAGACCTGATGACCACTGTGTATATGACCAGTTACGTACCTGATATGTTTGGACCACCACAGATGGACGTGAGTTTTACCTAGCTAAACCCCAGACCTGACGGACATGATGACGAAGGTATGGGCAGGTCTGGGATACATGTTCGACATACCATACATCCTTCTACATGCCTGGCAGCTACGGAAGGGGAGGGGGGGATGAAGGAAGGGGATGCTGAGGGGGATTTGGGATAGCATGTTCTACATGAATGTTTTCCACTCAACTGGAAACCAGTGATAAGATAGATTTCCAGACTCAGATATGATTCTTATGCTTGGCATAGAACATGTTGGGAAAGAGCCTTGGTTTTATCATCTGATTATTATACCCCACATGTGTACAGAGATTTTTCAGAAGAAAATAAACAGGAACGCTAATAATAGAATCGCTGTTGAGCATTGTTATTTCGAGAGCTTGAAACAGATGTTTGTTCTATTTCCATAATGAATGGCCGTGATATATCTCAGTCATTTTATCTCCCCAGCTAAACTTCGTCTAAGAACAATACTGAATGTGGGTGGTAGAAACACAGTTGCTATAGCCTTCAAAATACTTATAATTTTTTGGTGTTTTACCAGAATATGTTTGTTATTTTGTTGAAATGGTTCATTCTGAAAAACACTCAAGTCAGAATGGCTGTTAAGTGTTGTACTGATTGTATGTTGGGAAAAATTATTTTTCAAGTATACAAGTAGTCAAAATTCTTGCCAAAATAATCAGTTATGATGAGAACAAGGGCAATTTCCAGACTTTTCCTGTCATATTAAATGCAAATTGTTACCGAATGTTTGAATGTTTTTCAGAAGTTAACAATGGTAGTGAACTATGTAGGCAAACAGAAAGGATGTGTTCTGTAATTGGCCAGATGAAAGAACAGGTGCTTGGAAATACCAATAAACATCAAAACAAGGCCACATGGCTAAAAACAACCTTCCTTTGAGAGAAATTCCATCCGTGTAAGATAAGTCAAATATTTACAGTTACAGCAGCAGTGGTTACATTCGGCTCCCACCCTGTCTGGGCGAGTGGTGAATTATGGCGTCAGTTAAACTCCCACTAAAACACTCCTAAATATCAAGCTGTTAGCACTGAATTGGTCACAGGCCATACTGACCACCAACCATCAAGGTTAGGTGAGGCTGGTCAGTGGATGTTGGCTGCTGGATGTGATGGATGAAGATGGGTTGGGGCACCTGCTTGCAGTGTCTGTAACAAGATAGGAGGCATGGGAGGAGGGGGTGGAGGTGCAGAGGGGGAGGAGTACTGTATGAGGATACCTGGAGATGGGTTACTGTAGGGTTACTATTGGATGGGTGGATACCTGGAGATGGGTTACTGTAGGCAGATACCTGGAGATGGGTTTCTGTAGGGTTACTATTGGATGGGTGGATACCTG